ATGACAGAAAAATGACATGAAACTCAAATTTCAGTGTCCATAATTCCACATTAGAACATGGTCATATTTGTCTCCACATTGTTCTTGGCTGCTTCTTTTGATCTGAGGTACATATATGTAGTGTGACTGGGACCAGGTGACTTGCAAAGCCTGTCTGGTTCCTGAGGAAAAGGTAGTTGCTTCTGTGTTGGTGTGGAGGTTCCTGGAGAGTTTGTACCAAGTGATCCTAACCTGTCCACTATATCTGATGAATAGGGGCATTCCCATCATGTTTGCTGAAAGAACTATTAGAAAACTAGGTGACACGGCTTCTGTAAGATATTTACATTTAAAATCATTTGCAATCGCTTCCATTGAATATGACTTGTAAACATTAGGTAAGAAAAACTTACTGGTAGCTTTGTGGATTTAAAGACAGAAGGACTGGCAAGTGTTTGTTTATGGAGATTAGAATAATCACTAGGACTTTCAAAGGGATTTAAAACGGGGATCCTTCCTGGAGTTTCCGGTGTTATTTGCATTTTTAACTCGCTCACATCTCCCATAGCCCAGGAAGCAAACTAAAAAAGAAATCAGAAGTACACATATTAAAGCTATAAAGTATCAGACATAACAATCCTGACAAAATATATCTAACATTTCACAAAGAGTTCACTCCAAACCTAATTCTTTTGGGGTTATTTTATAGCTTACAAGAGAGCACCCTGTACGTTTCCTCAGAAGATCCTGAAAGCATAGGCACTCAGAGGAAGGAACACAAGTAGGGAAGTTAAATACACACCAATTGGTGGGAAGGAAATTACACTCAGCACAAGTACCTTTCCAACCAAACGAATTCCATTTGTAGTTGTCTTTATTCGTGACCCCAAGATTAAATAGCATGAACATCCTCCGGATGCTCCAGTAATTCTGTAAAGAACTACAATGACTACCCCTGGAACGTTAGCCCGCACTAGGGCAGGGTGATTGACAGGGTCCAGGTGGGGATTTAACTCGCTTTCCCGGAGCAGTCCCACCCCTCCAGGACACAAAAGCACAATGCATTCCTTCCAAAGAGGGTGACAGCCAGGCGGGAAAGAGAGGGAGAAAAGAATCTACCTTTGGAAGATCCAAGTTGAGCCGGCTCCCTCTCCAAGAGCAGAGACGTCCC